TAACTGTATATATAGTTTTATTTTATTTATGTTATTTTAATATACATTTAATTGCCTTTTTCTATGTGTGTAGCACGAAGTAACTGCAAACTTTTCATTTTCTTGTACAACCACATGTTGTATAAATGTATAAAGATAAATAAATTGCCTTGATCCTTGGAAAAAAAAACCTTGTGGAAAGTGAAACAAGTTTAAGAAAACCTATTCTGATAAAACAAAGAATCCTCTTTGTACATGTTGATATAAAAAATGTAAAACAGAAATAAGGTAACCTTAAGGTGTATTTTTGAATATTTTCATTGTGAAAAACATATTATTTAAATATATGTTTATGGTGATGAAAATAGGTTTCTGTTTTATTGCTTTGTTTTACTCAGATTTACTTTACTTAGATTATAAATACATAACTCAGCTAACATGCACTTGAATTATTGTCAAGGAAGCATCTTTTTTCCAATTTCTTTTAGGATGTCTGAGTTGCCTGCTTTCCCCCGAATGTCCTTCCTGTTGCTTTGCATTCTGGGTATGACCGTGGTGACATCTGGCTTCCCTCAGCCTCGACTATCTCTCAGGTGGTTACTCACTAAATCTCACTGAGGTAGCAACAAAGTATTACTTTTAATGCTACAATGGTACCAAAATAATCGACCACTGAGCTAACTACCTCAGAATACCTAAATGTATTTTCTCCATAATATGCTGCACTTATTTTTAAATTTGTACATAACACAGTCTTATCTGATTTCAGAAGTCCTGAGGATTCAGCCGAACCTAAACGAGATGACTGGGATGTCCTTTTCCCCTCCATCTCTCTCCGTGATTGGAGCATTCAAATGATGTCAGCCCCCAGCCTCGGAGCAGCCAATAGCAAGGCAGGACTGATGAGAGAGGCGTGGCTGTTTGCCCCAGAAAGGGCAGAGGCCAGGTAAGCGCACAGTGAGGGAAAATGCTATATTAAAGTTCAAATCAAAGGAAACAACAGGAGTGCAAAACAGATGTTAAAAAGCAGCCACACTTTCTTACATTCAGTGACATTTATGTAAGAACAGAATTTGATAGGGACAGATACAGTAAATATAGAATGAAAACAGCAAACCAACGCAAGTATCATAGTGTTTATAGTGGATGTACATTTCAGATGAACTCTTCAGTTGTATTTATGTATAAATTGTATAGATTGTATCTACAGTTTCTGTGTGAGTTGTGGCCAGAGTTATTATAATTTTGTATTTTTTATTCAGTTTTATTTTTAATTCATTTTTAATTTTTGTTTTCAATTCAGTTCAGTTTTTGTTTCCAGAGATTGCACATTTCAGGTTAGAGTGTTTAGTATTAGTTTTTTATTAGTTTCAGTGTTAGTTTTAGTTTTTTTATTATAATACAGGGTATTTGTCAGGGGCAAGACTTTAGAAGTTCAGAATAGATATTACAATATGAACCCACTGACTCACAGTCATGTAGACACCCCTATCCCAGTCTCAATAGACACATTCTCCAAAGCCTCCACATGCTTGACGTGTTGACAAATTTGACCAGATTGATAAAGACTGAAATTAAAGACATTTCCTGTATATTTTCTTGTATTCATTTTAGTTAGTTTTGTAAGTAAACAATATTGATTTAGTTAGTTATCATTTACTTTTTTATCATTTTATTTTTATTTCAGTTCACTGAAATGTTTTTTCAAACCTAGGTTTAGTTTTTAATTAACAATAATAACCTCATAATAACTGTTTTTCTTTTGAAAATAAAAGACGTTAGCTTACTAGACCTCTGTAGCCCACTCCTCATCAGCGGCTCCAAACTAGCCACTACTAGCATAACACACTTAAACATCTGACAGAACTGTTGGCGGTCTAGTTGCACTGTGGGTAATGTAGTTGTGTGAAATAAAAAAGAAGATATATCTGGTTCTGCTAAACAAATTGTAATCTTTTTTTAGTAAAAAAGTTAGTACTTAATCCACGGAGCACTCGTTTAATAGAAAATCCTGAATCTCTTTGTGACACTTGAACAATTTGCATACATCTATAACTTGAGCAGTTTAACCAAATATTCTTATATTGATTCATGTGAAACTGAACTTAATGGCGGATTTTGTTACCTTTGGAAAGAGCCAGCTGTTTCCCTGGTTCTTATTTTAAAAATAAGTTACACTTGTTAGGCTCATATTTACGGTGTGGTACTGATCCTATCATCTCACTCTCAGACAGAAGTGAACACAGGTAAGTGTATTTCCCAAAAGACTATTCCTTTAAACAGCTATTCCCAAAGAAAATTTGTGATTTTATTTATTTATTTTTATTGGGGGCTATACCAAAATGAAGCAGTGCATCAAGTTTCATTAATTTTGTCAACTCAGATTCAGCTCAAATGAAAAAACAAACAGCAATAATACATTAGTGTTGGAGCCTCTGGTACCTGGATTATTTCCTAGTCACTGATCTTGAGGTCTTGGTCTGTTATGTCTAGCATGGAGAGGGCGTGGCCTGCTGAATGGTCGTCTCAGGGTGCCGGCATGGTGAAGAGGAACATGGTGGTGGCTGATGATGCTGCCTTCAGAGAGAAGAGTAAACTCCTCACCTCCATGGAGAGACAGAAGTGGCTCAACTCCTACATGCAGAAACTACTGGTGGTTAATTCTTCATGATACTGGCAAAAAGCCATTTAAAGGGATGTTAAGTCTCTGGGTAACTGCACAGAGAGAAGACAGTAGCATAGACATCAAAAGACATTAACACTTGCTGTTCTATTTCTTTTGGAACTTTCACTATTTTATTCTAATACTTGAGTTATTGATTTCCCAAAAGGTGGTTAAATGAATCATTCAGAAAGTCTTTTGCTGTTGAACATACATAAATCTAAAGTGGATGTTGGTCGTGCTGAAAATAATTTGATGCATAAATAAAGATGTAAATTTGTTTTTGACAACTGTAGCTCGTGTCTTACTTCATACTGTGTTGATGTATCAACAGCTGGAGCTGGAGAATAGTATTTATATTCATCTATCTGAAGAATTTACACAATTTAACTTCAGCCAAAAGCAGGATGTCAGTGTTTGTGCTGGTTATATACATTTTGGAGACACATTTAGCCATATAGCAGTCAAATACATTTACAAAAACATTAGTACATTAGCAGTTCAACATGCTGGGAGATACACTTGTTTGCTATTTTTCCTGAGTGAGATGAGAATATTAACATCAACATCAATACATTCATTTTTTTTTCAGAGCCAGGCTAGCTTTTCCCCCTGCTAGTCTTTACACTAATCAGGACTAACCATATGACTCCAGCTCTTATTTTCCTGACTTATACAATACAGTTCTTAAACACTCACATTGCGAGGACACATAGATATTAATTCCATTTCTCATTCATCTACAATGGCTTTGACTGCTGACCTTGATAATATTAGCACTAATGTCTGGGCAGTAGGAATGTAATTGTATTCTCTAACATGTATTGCAAGACCGTTCGTAACATAGATAACTGTCTAAAACATACATTTTTAAATTGTAAACATGAAGGACAGCTTGCATATATTAATAATTATTTATTATCTTTATGTATATTTTTTTTCTGATTGACCTCTCTTGTGTCTTTTGTTTTTGTAGCACTTTGTAACTTTGTTAAAAATGACACATAAAAGATTAATATCATACTACTACTACATACTACTATCACAGACAAACTAAAGTTGTTAAAAGTGAATTTCCTTGTGAAAGTAAAAACTGCAAGAAAATATCTGGTTTGCGTCCACATGTAAAGTGAATTTTTGCCAAACTCACTCATCCTTTGATGGATGTTTATTTCTGATTGAATAAATCAGCTTCCTGAATATCAGAACACTTCCATCACACAAATAGTAGTCATATCCCACGCTGCCTGAAAATCAAAAAAAGAGGATTTTCAAAGGTTGTTGGGTTTTGTTACTGACTGCACAATATGTTGAAATGTTAAAAAAAACTAATTTGCTGGTTATGTGGTTAAATATCTCATCAAAACATTTCAACAGATCACTCTTGGGCTGTCTAGAACATACATGCACAGTCTAAAAATGGTTCTTTAGAGCAACATGCAGGGGCGATGTCAGGGTGCCTCAATCATTCTGGCTCATTTTAGGTCCCATAATTCATCATGAAGTTGTCAGGTGAATTTAAGTCTCTTATTTTCAAGACCTTGGAGAGAGCGCCAAGTGGACTTCTTAGAAATTGTGAAATATTCTTGGCCTATTTTTTAATACAATGCATGAGTCTTAATAAAACCAATGACACAAACCACAAGGAAACTGCTTCTTTCTCTGCATTATACACATGTTCCAGTGCAGGACAAGAGGAGGCAGACTCTGTGTTTACAATCAATGATACAGTACAGTACTCGCAGTGGATGGACGCTGTTTCTTTTTATGTGAAGATGAAACCATATTATCATCACTATCTTGTTGCTGATTGTTACGTTTCCCAACACCCAAATTCAAAAAAATGCACTGCAGAATATGTATACGTATATGTATATATGTATATAAATA